GGTCTTGGAAACCCCTTAAAAAATTTAACCTAGTAAAACCCAAAAACAGACAGGGAAAATACAGAAAAAAAAAAATTTCTCTACTTTGAGGCCAGTTTCAAACTACTTCCGGTCCGGGAAACCCAACTGAAACATTTTTATTTCAGTAGTATGCCCCCTTCTATTAAATGAACCCAAAAAACACCCCAATAAAGTATCCTAGAAAACACCCAAATCAGAGTTTTGTTTCCCCCCATCATTTTTCACATAAGCAAAACTTTTTTATAACGTGCACATAAGCACAGGCTCTAGGTAAAAAATTTTCCGCTCGCAGTTACCGGGAGGCTCAAGCCATTAAGGACCCCCGCCTTACGAAGCATCGCGTTACGTTAAAACACCATACGAAGCATTTGAATGCAAAAATTTTGCCTCGCCTCAAAAACCCCCTTACATGATTCGTCCGGGGGCATCCCCCCGGTGGCCTCGCGCCCTTTTAAAGAAAAATGCCCTTTTTCTACGCAATGATATTCCCAATGTCAAAAATTTGTCCATACCTGCTGCATTACACTGCAGCCTGTATCCACTTGAATAAATGGGTTTTCAATATTTCTTTATATTCCTCCTTCTCGAGCATTTTTTATCCCAGACTTTGCCTTTCTTGTTTCTCCTTAACCACCCCCACTTCTTTTCTTGGTGATTTTTAAAGCTCACCATTTCCTTGGGGGGGGGGTCTCATTTTTTTTGACTCACGTGGATCCAGTTTTGGGGCTTTTCTCCCTTCCCCCCTCCATGTTTTAAATAGGGTACCCACCCATTTTGATCCTGTAAAATATACTCTCTCTTGATCGTCTATCAGTCTGCTCTTTCCCCCACTGCACTAGATTTACCTGGTTTTTCTACGCACTTCATGACAGCGGGTCATTTTCCAAACATTCTTTTTCTTTTCCTTCTTTCACCCCCTTTCCGTAGCCCTCGTGGGCAATTTGATCGGGAAATTGGGACCTTTTACTCGCAGCTCACTGCTTTTAGTGAGGTTTTCCCTTTTTCATCCCCATTTATGAGCTCCTAACCTCTTCTCGACGTCAGTTTATACCGCAGCTTTCATTCATACCCCAAACCTCAGGCAACATTCCGGAAATGCATGCCTCGGTGGTCTCCCGCTTGTGTCTGCAGTCGTTTGAAACGCGCTGCATGGGGGGGTTTTCCGAACGAGCCAAAGAGAGATTTTTGATTTTAAGAGAAGCGGCGATCCTCGCCGTGTCATCCCTTTATCTAAAACCCCTTGCTGGCGAGACTATTTTTCCACCATCACCTCTCTTCCTCAAAAGAGTGCAGTTTTGGACCCACCATTTTAACATTACAACAAAAACAGCACCTTTTTCCCACACCCTTTTTCATTTGGGGCCAAAAGTTCTTCCCCAACTTAAAGCAGTTCCCCTTTCCGCAAACCGGGGCTACAAATAGCCCCCACTTTTTCCCCGCTTACTAGGGCAGTTTCCCAAATGATGAACGTCTGTTTTAAAAAGCCGTTTAATGTGGAATTTAGAAGGGAAACAACAGTCTCTCCCCCTAGTCCAATAAGGCTTTGTAAGGGCCTTTACCATAGCCCTTTCTACGCTTGGATCGTATTTCGTAATGCCTTTGCAAATAATACTCTGTTATTGCCATATTTTTTTACTTTGAAAGGCATATACACAACTTGGAGGTATAATATTTTGGCCCAAGCCCACTCCTTTGGCCCTAGGCAACTACCCTCCTTCCCTTAAAAACTTTTTAAAAATGACAGACACTTCCGTGTTCGAGTCAAAATGTGCTTTCCCCCGGGCTTTGTCCAAGTGAAGGTGTCCCAGGGGATGTGTTCTGACAAAACACTTTTTCCCTTTCTTAAATGTTTTTGGGCCCCTTTTTCTTCCCCCCCAATATTTGGGATCAATCTGTTGATGACTTCGCTGTTGCTTTTTTTCGGCGCTGACTGTCATCTCATTTTAGTTTCTCTACAGCATGCGGTCGACAGGTTTTCCACTTGGGCCACCACCCATGGGTTTAAATTTTCCAATATCAAAACTCACCCAAAATTTTTTCACTAGACCTCTGTCATCCCCAATCTCTTTTGTATCTTGGGTCTGTATCCCCAAAGGATGTCAGGTTTCTAGGGCCTTTTCTTTGACCGTTTTGGTTTTCCTGGAAAAACCCCACATTACCTCTTGAAGGCAACTTGTCAAGCCGGCAAAACCTTCTTAAAACCCTGCTCTCTTTCCTGGGGGGCTGATTGTCGAAATCTGCTTCGCCTACTTCAGCCCCCCTTTTAAACGAAACTCATTATTTGACCAGATTTTTAGCGGGCCCCTCCGCTCTCTCTCTAGCCTTAAAACCCCCCCATCACCCAAGGGTTCGTTTATGCCTTGGGGCTTTTTGTCTTTCCCTGTGAGAGCCCCTTGCAGAAGCAAATGTTGCTGATGCCGTGATCCCCCTTGCCTTGCTACTATGTATGCTTCACCTTTCCCCAATCCTTCCATTTTAAAAATGGTCACCATATTTGTGCATTCTTTATTTGTTCGCTGCCCCCGTTTGCTCGTCCCTTTTCTCTTCGCCCCATTCGCTCGTCTTCCCTTCAGTTACCACCTTTATTGTTCAGTAGCACTTCCTTTTCCTATCCCACGGGAAGTTCCCGTGTTGGGTCTGTCTTTCCGCTCCCTTCTTTAAAGCCCAAATGCCTCGGGGGCTTCCCCTCTCTTTTTCTTGATCATTCCACTCTCATTTTCAGCCATGCTGTGTACACATATGGCTCAAGTTTCAGACGGGTCGGATTTTGCGCAGTGTTTCCGGGCACGCGTGCGAGGGATTTACTACTTTGCTAGCATTTTTACTGTGAATTGTATGCCATTCTTGCAAACACTTATCGATCGATCTATGCCCGTGTCATCATTTTGTGCTAACCCCTTTGTGCTTACAGGCTTACGAAAAATTTATAATTCACCCCAGTTCTCCCGTATCCAACTTTGGCTACGCCCTACTCTACCAAACATGAAAATGTTTTTTGTTGGGTCCCTGTATGTGATGTACAGGGCAATGAACAGGAGAACTGCTGCGCGGCAGCAGTACATGACCCACCCAAAATTTCCCAAGAGGTGTTCCCTTTTTGGACATTTTTCTGCAAAAGCTACCCACCCTTTACACCCTTTTCAACAAAGTTGGGCAACCTGTCGGAACAAACTTCTTTCTATTAAACCGAGCAAGGTTTTCTGGCCGTCTTCTTACATCAGGCCCAGGTTGGAGACCACTCTCTCCCCCCCCCTTGCATTGGCCAACTCGTCTTACTCATGGGGATCTCATGGGAGGCACCCTGTTTTCCCCTCTGTGAGCAGTGTCAAGTTCCAGTATGATTTGCCACATTTGTTAGACTGCCCCCTCTATCAAAAGCATGCAGAATTTACCTCCAACGTGTCTTCGCTCTCTCTCTCTTTACCTTCCCTTTTGCTGATGGCCCTCCTTTAATCCTGACTCTCTCATTGACTTCTTGACAACGACTGATTTACTCCACAAACTCTGATGATGATACCTTTTGCACTCTCCTCAGCCCTTTCTTGTTCAGTCTCTTGCTGCCCTTTACCCTTTCACCATCCACTGCCCCGCTGTTATCAGTAACCTATTACTCATCCATCTCCCTTTTGCCACCTGATGCCCTCGCTTCCTTCCTGCCCTGCAGCGCTGTATAGCCCTTGTGGCTTAGCGCTTCTTTTTGATTATAATAATAATAATATAGACAGATTTGTTGTGTGACAGAGGTCCAGTGACTCTTAAGCTGGTCCTAGTGGCATTAAAAGAAGAAGGGAAGTAACCCCAGAAAAGGACTTGCTACCTCAAGTCCTAATGGAAGGGGATTTGCCTTCTAAACAATAACTTCCACACACTCCCATCCCATCAATCACCACCAGATCTTCAATAAAGGCAAGTGTCATGTATTCTATTCTTAGTAGAGTAGTAATTGTGCATGTCTTCTTCAGTTTGTGTGTATTAAAATTAATATTTCATATAAAAAAAAAAAATTTCACACTTTGGGGTGTCTTGCACAGATTAATTTGATTTCTATTATTTCTTATGGGGAAAATTAATTTGGCTAACGATGAGCTCTCAGGAACGGATTAATCTCATAAGGCGGGGGTCCACTGTACTTAGATCTGTGTTACTGACCCTGAGTCAGTAGTGTACTTTGACATGATACAGTGAAAGGGTTAAGATTTGCCTAGCAGGTGTTTCGGCTGTAAAAAATTTTTAGTCACTGTGGGCCAATGCTTAACTTCCTATGGTATAGAAGTATACCTAGTTCAATAAATCTTATTCGGCCAACATGGTAGAGTGGTTAGTGCATTGGCCTATTTGTTCCAGAAGGCCGTTAGTGCCATTACCGAATGAATTTGTTCCCTTAAGGAATAATGTAAATTAGATTAGTTCATTTCAGACCCCCAAAAATACTTACAAAAGCATTTACAATAATACACTTGCATAATTGTTCGAGTTGGGAGCTGTACGAAACTCGGGTACCACTGTATATTCATTTAAGGCCTTTGTTCATGCCCTGTATATGTTCATTCTTCAAGTGCTTTCTTTTTCCCATAAATAAGACCTAAGGAAAATTTTTCTTACCATTAAAAATACATTATAATATTGAGTACTATGTCATCTTGGGGTTCTCATAGAATAGCTCAGTTTGATATTACAATTTTTAGTTTTTCTAATTTCTACCTTAAGTGTGGAAATGCTGCATCATTGTACAGTATGTGTATACTAAAAAAAATTTTAAGTAATGTAATTGTTATTATTCTTTAAAGAAAGCACTAAATCCATATAGGCCCTTTAATGGTTCTGATTTTATTATTTGGTTGCTATTTAGAAAATTAAAAATTTTCTCTATGACCTATTACAGTTTTTGCACCTCTTCTTGAATAATTAAAACCTTGTGCAGTGCATTTCTCACACCTGAGGACTGTCTGGCCCAAATTGATGATGTGTTTTTCTAACAGGTATGGCAAGAAAGGATCTCCTCCAGATATTCCACCTCAATCTACATTATTGTTTGTCATAGAATTAAAGAGTATTAACTAGCTTTGTATACATTGTGAATGGCAATTCCCTTGTATTGCTATTTAAAATGGGACAGATTAATTATCAATACGGTCCAATGCCTTAGTTTTGACTGCAGTTAGTGCACATTTGAGTTTTTAATTAAAATTTAAAATTAAACACTTGCAGAGCAAGGACCAATATTTTAACAAGGCTTATTCTTGAAGCAAAGTATAATTTGCACACCAAGGGGATGGATTTGGGCCAAACAAGTTTTTCACTTGAAATAAACACTGACAGTATGAAGAATATTTTATATGGTAGCACAGAATAATAATGTTTCCCTCGGGTTCCCTGGTGCTGGTGAGGGACTCTTAATCCACAGAATTGATGTTGTCCTCTCCTTGGATCGAACCCGATTGTTTCCCATCTCCCAGACGTTTTATGACCCTAATGATTAAGCACTTCCCCATAAATATATGGGAAGCATTAAACCTTTAGGGGATGATGTATTTATTTTATTTAGGAAGAATTAAGAGCACTTTGTCAGTATCAAGGAAGCCCCCTTATAGGGAGAGAACTGAATAACCTGTAGGTTTAGTGCTTGTTTTTTTTTTTTTTTTTTTTTTTTTTTTTTTTTTTTTTTTTTTTTTTTTTTAAAAATTTTTTTGCATTTTTTTTTTTTTTTTACTTTTGTCAGCCCCGTGGGGGCCCCTGGTGGAAAGCCCCTTTTTTAATTATAATAATAAAAATTTGTCCCTCTTCATTTTAAATTTGAAATTAATTTTAAATTATAAAAATTTTAATTCTTCTTGCTTCAAGGGGGCCCTTTAAATAAAATTGCATGTTTTTAAATTGACAAGTGTCAGTTTAAACATCACCATGTCCATTTTTTAAGGTAAAACTTTGAATAAGCATTTCTGCATTGTTTTAAACTAATTTACTTTTTTTTGGGGAAAGGGCTTTAAGAGACTGCGGGGGATTTTTTAAATTTTTGATTCATGTCTTTTTTCATCATACAGATACGGGTTTTAGCATTTTTTGGGATAATAGATAGAAAACAGAACTAGCAGATCATTTCTATGTTAATGTTCAAACTTTTTTTAGTTTTTTTTTTTGGAGCTTTTGGGTTCATTTTTGGGAGCTTTTGGACAATTGACTTAAAAAATTTTAAAAAAAGGTCTGCAAAAACCCTTGTCTCTTGGGAGGCAATTTTTTTATTGGGGGAAAATATAGCCGGGCCCTCACGGTTTTACTTTGACTTTTAAAAATTTTTTTTAAATAGAATTAACAGTTTTTTAAAAACCCAGGGGTTTTTAAAAATTAATACAGGCTCATTTTGGGGGCAATCAAATTAAAACAGGTGAAAGGGCAGAAACACTTAAACCAAAATCACTTTGCAAAGGAGCAACCAACTAAAATGGTAAACAGATCTTCCATGAAAGGACTTTAAAAGGAAAATTTTCCCTGTAATTTAAAAAACTTTATTAAATCTTTGTTTGCAACTGTTGATAATGCCAGACTTTACCAAAAAATGACTTCTTTTCCCTTTAAATTTTTTTAAAAACTTTCAGGAGCTTCACATCTTTTCTAACAAACTCCAGTTCTTACTTTTGTTTAAATTCATAAAACCCAAAAATTGCATGCAACTCAAATCATCATACCATTTCCCTTTTCCTTCTACCTGTAACAATTCTCATTACTTATTTTTTTAAAAATTATTGAAATAAAAAGTAAAATAGCTTTTAAAAATACACCAAAACTTTTTTTAAATATTATATTGACAGTATAAAAAAAAATTTGCTCCAAAAAAAACTTACCCCCCCCAAGCTATTATCAAATATTTAAAGAAATTTAAATTTGGGATGTAAATAAGTATTATACTCTTTTTAAAAATTTAAACCCATATCAAGACTGTACATTGCGGGTAATACAGATTTTTTTACTGAAGGCATGTTCAATCAATGAAATTCTTTGATTATGTTTGGGGAAATACTTTTAATAAGTCAAAACCCCCCACAAATTAAAATTGAAATTGATTTAATACCATTTATCAAAATTGGGTTTAAAAACCTGGGAATATTTTTCCAAATTACTTTAAAACATGTAAGCCCTTACAAATGTCTCAAAAGCCAAACCCATTTAATTAACACGGGAGGTCAAAACAAAAAACAACAGTCTAGGGGCCCCAAAAATTGATTTTAAAGGGTTTTATTTACTTCAGCCCAAAAAAAGTTGGGGGAATTATCCATTTATTCGGGCCTTTCCCCCTTTTATTTGCCCACCATCACCTCCCCTCCAATCCTTTTATCCCCCTCCCCCACCCCTTTTAGCCCGAAATTTAAAGTGCTCATATCCCGGTTACTTTTTTCCCCCATACTCACGGCTCCTAAAACCCCCCGGGTAAACCCAGGGAAAATGACCCCCTTTCCCCCCTTCCACTTCTTCCCTGTTTTCCCCGCTGTACTACGTTAAATCTCTCCATGAAGAACCCCGGGGTTTTGGGTTTCCTTTGGATCCTCTATCTGATCCTCCCCTTTCCTTTTCCCCCGGCCTCTTCCACAAAAGTCTGGGTTTTCGATCAATTACATTGCTAGGCATATTTTGTGCTGCCTGGCTAAAATAAAAAATATAATTGTTGGGAACAGACTGTTTTTAACCCTTAAAAAAGTCCAAAGAGTTTGGCCCGTTAAAAATTGGGTAGTGCACAAAAGTAGATTACTTTTTTTTTACTTTTTTTTAAAATTAACAAAAAAAATGTAGAAAAATTTTTTTTTTAACATACTTTCAGAGTTGAAAAAAAGGGATTACCCGGGGTTTTGGCCCCTTTTAAAGGGTTAAAATAAAAAAATTTGGCCCTTAAAAGTACTGGATAAATATTAAATTATAATTTAGCCCCTGTATGACCCTTGTGGGTTTTAGTGCAGGGGTTTGAAAGAAAAAAAAAAAAAGTCACGGGGGAAAAAAACCACAAGAATCAGTACTTTTTCCCAACGGGTTTTATTTATATAACCCCTTGTGAGGAAGGGGAAAAAAATTTTCCCCCTTCGAAAAAGCCAGTTCGGGTAAGGGAAACAAAATGCTAAATTTAAAAAAAAAAAAATTTTTTTTTTGGGTCACCTTTCCCTCTGGAATACAGCCAGTTCAGTGGAGGAAAAACAATAAAGCGGCATAATAAAATTTATGCAAAATAAAAAATCGGTGCTTAATCTTTAATTTAATCTAAAGGGGAGACGTTAATAGTAAAAACAAAACCCAATAAAAAATTTGAAAATTTTTAACATCTGAGAAAATTCCGCTTTTTTTTATATAAAATTTACCCCCAAAACAACTTTGAAATGAATTGGGTGTTAACCCAATTTTTAAAAAACAAAAAGAAAATTTTAGAACAGATATAGATAATTGAGTAAGCTTTTTTTTTTCAGAGTATTGATCATTCCCTTTTTACGCGTATCTACTTTTTTTTCCTATTTTATAAGCAAGGAACCTAGGGGTGGGGCAAGTTTTTACCCGGGAAAATAAAAAGGTAAAATAAAAAAATTTTTTAAAAGTTGAATGTATCTCAAAAAAAAAAAAAAGGTTAAGTTTAAAAGCACTGAGTTTTAAAGGGAAAAAAGCGGGTAAAATTGGTAAAAAAAAAAATTTAATTATTTTCAGTAATGCAAAGATCATTTTCTCAAATTTCACATTACAGTACTGTGCTTGGGGTTTTCTACATTTTAAAAAACCTCCACATAAAAAATAGTCTAAAAGGGAAAGGAAAAAAAAACTTTGAAAGGTTTAAGGCAATTTTAAAATAAAGGGCACTAAATATAGGTTAAAGGGAAAAGTGGTAAAAGGAACAGGGGGAAAATTACAACTTTAAGAGGGGGCAGTTTCTGCAAAACAACCAAAAAGGCAAGTGTATTTTTTAAAATTTCCCTTAATGGAAACTAAAAATTTACTTTTTAAAGGGAAAGAAAAAAACAAAACGAAAATATGCATACATTTTTTTAATAAAAAATCACCCTGCCTTGGGGGAAGATAGCCATTGGGGTTTTTAAAAAATGAACACACACATTCCCTTTTTTTTTAAATTTTGGGAAAGGGGGGGGGATTTTCATCTGAATTTCATCAGAAACCTTCTAAAAGGACAGCGGGTTTAATGGTTTTAAGGGGCAAAAAAGTTTTCTCTCCAGGGCATGGGAGGCCGGGTTGGGAAAAGGGCCTTTGGGCAAATCTATGGCAAAAGACAGCCTTAGGGGGAAAAAAAAAAATAAATATATTGTACAAGATATATTTTTTTTAAAGGCTATTGTTTTTCTTGCCCCCCCTCCAAGAGGTGTCTCTTTTAAGAAACCCTCTCTTAATGCCACAAATCTAGGTTGAGGATGGAAATTTCTTTTCCCAAAAAAACAGTTTTTTTGGGGTCCTCTGAAAAGAAAAAGGAAAAATTCATTTTTCCCAATTTTTTAAGAAATTAATTTAAAAGGGGAAATTTACAAAATAATGTTTTTTCTGTTTTCCCGGGGTTTTTTTTTCAATCTGGTGTAATAAAAAAAAAACCCTTAAGTTTTTTGGTCAATAAATACAGGGGAAACCCCCCGCAAAAAGTTTACCTCCAAAATGCGCCCAATTTAAATTTTAATGTATTTATGTAAGGGGATTTGTAGGGGTATGTTTGGGGGCCCAAAAATTGGACAAAAAAATTCACAATTTTCCCTTTTTGGGAACAAATTCGTCTTACGGGCACCTAAAACTATTTCTGGAGTAAAAAAAATATGTTAATGGGGGTCCACTGTACGGGGGAAACCCCTGCTTACAAATTTAATCCTTCCAAAGCCTTGTTTGTATCCAAAGTAAATTTTTTCCCCTTTTAAATTAATTTGGAAATGAAAATTAAATCCTTTCCCACCCCTCTCAAGAGGCATGACAAAAAAATGCTAAAAAATATAAAACTCTAGGGTTTAATTTTTATCTAAAACAATTTACTAACATGATAATAAAAATTTTAATACCACAGAAATATATATTATATAGTAAATGAAAAAAAATGGGCCATAAAAAAAGGGCAAGTGTTTGGGCGACGCCACCCAGGGGCGAAAGCATTTGCCTTTTTACATCCCACTTTTGGGTTTTTTAAAACCATCCCCCGCCTAGCTTGTGTTTATCTATGAA